TGTCCATTATTTTGTACAATTAATATATGCTAATAAAATGTCTAAAAATGTGCTTCTGACTGTTCTTCTATTTGTATATATGTATGAAGAAATGTCCATCAAACATTAGCATTGTTCTCTTTTGATTGGAAGTTTTGCACTTTCACCCTTGCTCTTTTTTATGTTCACTGGATTTTTAATAGAGTTTATTTTTTCTTGTACATGCAAGTGTTCATATAAGCCAGACAAGGTGGTACACACCTGCAATGTCAGCCCTGAGGAAACTGAGACAGGAGGATTGTGAATTCAAAGCCAGCTTGGGCTACGTTGTGACACCCTGTCTCGGGAAAAAAAAATTGTATGACTTTCTCTAACCAATGAAATGTGAGAGAAAGTAGTGTTGGACTGTGGACTGAAACATTTAAAAGAGCTGGTATGCAGCTCTCTTCAGTCACTTTCCCCTACATGTCAGATGAATTGAGTGCACCTTTTCAAAAGTTTTTTCTCTTCTATTTTTATATTTTCATATTACAAATGATTGCAGATCCTTTTGGAAAATAGATATTTACAACCTTAATATAAACATTTTCTTATTTTAAAAAGCCATGCTACATTTGAATTTTACAAGGAAATAATGAGTTATTTTATGAAAATTATTTATATTCATATTCATGAAGATAAACCAAGTTGTACTGTCATGACAAATTAACAAAAGCACCATAATCTCAGAGGCTTAAATGCAAAGCTTTCCTCTTGCACACAGATTTGTCCAATATGGTATAGTGGTGGCTGCACTCTATATACTCAACACTCAGGTACCAAAGCTGATGGAGGCACAGACCTCCTGTGAGGCCACCATCCTCAACATGAAACCCCATGGCAGGAAGCCATTGGCCTGAGCTAATTATTTCATGGAAGACAAAATATAGTTCCATTCTTCAGGCAGACAAATGAAAACAAGGGAAACATTTGGGCATTTGGGGTCATATACTTTCATTGTTCAGAGGGCAAGCTTGTAGGCAATGAATTGTGGGTGAAATGTACTATTGTATAAGGTATCTTTTGTGACAAGAGGGGTCATGTCTTACTTGTAACTTTGAAAAATAATGAAACTTTTTTTATTTCTACCAGTCCCATAGGATATCTGAGTGCATTTATTAAATTGTTGCTGAGTGTATCAGCAAGGATCCAGCCTGTAATACAAACCATTGAGTATTTGAAACAGGGAATTCAATGCAGATAATTTAGTTACATAGGTTATGGACAATCTGAAAAGCCAAATCTGGATAGTGGTACAACACAGAGATTACCAACAACAAGAAGCCACTATAATTCTGATTACAAGACTCAGTAAGAGGCATTGGCAGGGATTTTGTGGTCCTGAGGAAGGAGAATCAGGGCATTTCTCCCTGTCTCTGTTTTCCCAGTGGGATGCCAGTGACACGAGGTCTTGAAAAATGCTGCCTTTAGAACTCAGCGCCTCTGTGAAGTAGACCAAGTAGGGGAATGGAAGAAATGGATGTGGGCACAAAGAAGCCTAGTAGTTGCCTGAGTAATCATTTCTGCAAGAAACTTAGATAATTCAGATACATTGCTTATAGCTTATCAAGAGTGTACAGGGCAATTGGTATGAAAGTCAATTTTAGCTATTGCTTTAAGCACAGGAGCTATTTTTCTAGCAATAAGGATGATAGATATTTCCAATTTTTACTGGGCTGACCTGAATTTATTCATTGTACTGGTTCTAAGCTAAGAGAAAGGAGACAGTGGTCCTATTAGCTATGTTAAAAAAAAAAAAAAAAAAAAAAGCTTGCTGACGAACTCAACTGTGTTTCCGGTATGCCATTTGGTGTCTTGCCAATTCTAAGAGCAAAAGATTTTCATAGCCAAAGAGAGAAGTATAGACCCTTCACAACATGGAGAGAAAGTTACTGGATGATAAAATGGAGTGATATAATATACTGACTGCTAGACATCAGTGCATCTAGAGTTCTTCCTTGGGCATTCCTTCTGGGAATGACACTGACCTCCAATTTTTTTCTTTTTTTTCTTTTTTTGTTTATTCATATGTGCATACATTGTTTGGGCCATTTCTCCCTCCTACTCCTGGCATGGCTTCCATGTACAAATGTGTTACATTCTAAGTTGATTTAGCTCTAACTGACCTTTTCTCTAGTTCCTGATCCCCTTCTCATATTGACCTCTGTCGCTTTGTTTCTGTATTAGTTCCTCTGCAGTGAGGACATCAAATACTATCATGTTTTTTGGGTTTCTTACCTATCCCCATACCTCCCATGTGTGCTCTCACCTTATCATGTGATCCAAGTCCAATCACATTGCTATATTTGCCCTAGATCTAAAGTCCACATATGAGGGAAAACATATGATTTTTGGTCTTCTGAGCCTGGGTAACCTCACTCAGAATGATGTTCTCCAGTTCCATCCACTTACTTGCAGATGATAAGATTTCATTCTTCTTCGTGGCTAAGTAAAATTCCATTGTGTATAAATACCACATTTTCTTAATCCATTCATCAGTAGTGGGGCATCTTGGCTGTTTCCATAACTTGGCTATTGTGAATAGTGCTGCAATAAACATGAGTGTGCAGGTGCCTCTGTAGTAACCTGAGTCGCATTCCTTTGGGTACATCCCCAGGAGTGGGATTGCTGGATCATATGGCAGATCTATGTTTAGATTTGTAAGAAGCCTCCAAATTTTTTTCCAGAGTGGTTGTACTAGTTTGCATTCCCACCAGCAGTGTACTGGGGTTCCTTTTCCCCCACACCCTCACCAACACCTGTTGTTAGTGGTGTTTTTAATGATGGCTATTCTAACAGGGGTGAGGTGGAATCTTAGTGTGGTTTTTGATTTGCATTTCCTTTATTGCTAGAGATGGTGAGCATTTGTTCATGTGTTTTTTGGCCATCTGAATTTCTTCTTTTGAGAAAGTTTTGTTTAGCTCATTTGCCCATTTCTTTATTGGTTCATTGATTTTCAGAGAGTGTAGTTTCTTAAGTTCCCTGTATATTCTGGTTATCAGTCCTTTGTCTGATATATAGCTGGCAAATATTTTCTCCCACTCTGTGGGTGGTCTCTTCAGTTTAGAGACCATTTCTTTCGTTGAGCAGAAGTTTTTAGTTTTATGAAGTCCCATTTGTCTATACTTTCTCTTAGTTGCTGAGCTGCTGGGGTTCTATTGAGGAAGTCCTTGCCTATACCTATTGCTTACAGAGTGTTTCATGCTCTTTTCTGTACCAACTTTAGAGTTTGGGGTCTGACAGTAAGGTCTTTGATCCATTTTGAGTTAATACTGGTATAGGGTGATAAACATGGATCTAGTTTCAGTTTTTACAGACTGCTAACCACTTTTCCCAGCAACATTTGTTGAAGAGGCTGTCTTTTCTCCATCGTATATTTTTAGCGCCTTTGTCAAAGACAAGTTGGTTATAGTTGCGTGGATTCATATCCGGGTCCTCTATTCTGTTCCACTGGTCTTCATGTCTGTTTTTGTGCCAGTACCATGCTGTTTTTATTGCTATTGCTTTGTAATATAGTTTGAAGTCGGGTATTGTGATAACTCCAGCATTGCTCTTTTTGCTGAGTTTTGCCTTGGCTATTTGCGTTGACCTTCAATTTATGTCTATTTCTGGTCTTGATGTCCAAACTCAAAGATTGCATTGAGAGGTGGCTATCATAGTGAAGTTCAACAGGATTTCTTTTTTTGTTTTTTAATTAGGATATATTCATTGTACAGGGGGTATTCATAGTGACAATTCTGATTAGACTTTTATTGTACATTATTTACATTGCCCCCTTTGTCTCTCCCCCTCAATCCTTTCCCCACCCCACTTAAAGCAGTTACAAGAGGTTTCTTAGTTCAGTTTCATACAGGTATATGAAATCCATCTACCATATACCGTCACCTTAATCTCCTTCCTTCACCCTTCCCCTTCCAATAGTACTCCCCCTCCCCACACACACACACAGAGTACCTATTTTATAGTCCTGGTTTTCATCATTAATATTTAAGTTGATGTATCAAGGGGTGCCTCAATGTATGCTCTCTGTGGGTGTACTTTAGTTTGGTCCATTCAACCCCTTGCATTACTCTTCCTTGCCCCTTTACCTCCCACCTCTCATTTTTGAACAGCTTTAGTACATATCCTTATATCCTCTACCTTCACATCTTATGTTATATGATATTACTGATGCTCTATCATTTGCTTTTCTTTTCCCTCTTTCCCTGAGTTCCATAGAGTAGTTCCACTGTTACAAATATGTTCTACATCTGAGTTTGTATATGATCGTACTTGCTTTTTGTGCACATGTTTATCTTTGGATTTATCTTCTACATATGAGAGAAAACATGTGGCATTTGTATTTCTGAGCCTGACTAACTTCACTTAACATGATGTCCTCCAGTTGCATCCATTTACCTTCAAACTACATGTCAATTATTCCTTGTGTGAGTAATACTCCATTGTGAATATATATGACAATTTTAGTCCATTCATCAGTTTTAGGGCACCTAGATTGTTTCCAAAGCTTGGATATTGTGATGAACATAAGTGTACAGTTGTCTCTACGGTATCCTCAACAGGGATTTCTTTCATAAGAACAAAGTTATACAAATATACACCTGAATTCTGCTTGGAATATTAGTACCATCTATGTACTAGTGGCCTATATACAAGATAGTAAAGGATATTTTCAATTTATCTATAATCCTAAGGTGTGTAGTATGTAAAAAAAAAGGCTTCCTCTTAAATGTTTGCAAATTCTCAAGAAGTTTATTAATCCCTTTATCCCAATATTATTGTTATTATTATTCCTATCATGTGTGTGGTCATATTTGGACATTTTAAAGCCAGACTCAATCTCAATCTAAAAGAAAAATGT